GCCACCCAGTATGAAGCTCTTATTCCTCTCACCTAGTTTTTCTTTTCTTCCATTTTCCCTTTATTTTCCTTGATCCATAAGAATTAAAATTAAACATTTCAACCAACTTACATGAGAGTGTGGGTAAGCCTTAGGTAGAAGTATGTTATTTAAAGTCAAGGGTATAAAGCACATATAAAGTTGACTTCATCTTAAACCAATCTAGTCTAGTCAAAAATCCTTCAGGCAGTTGGGCCAAATATGAAAAACCAAATCCATCTAGATACCTGATATTAAGGGATAAACCTGAAGTGTTGTACCAAACACCTGGAGAAACATTGGGCTTAATATGACAGTTTTTTTTTTTCAATTTATTTTGACACTCATGAGGAATGTCCCATGCACAAATGTCAGTCAAGTGAAAAATTATCGAAATCAAGAGGAAAAACACTGTATTTCACAGCTCACATGCCAAATGAGAGGGAAGGACGATCCGAAAGCATTATCATAACCTCACCTGCAAAGAGAGACTTCACTATCTTGTTGTGAACTACACTATTGCATATACTTAATCAGTCGTTCTCTCCATCCTCTCATCTGTGAATTTCTTTACTTTGCTCAACAACAGCAACAAAAAATTTACTTGATTTTGGTGCGACAAGGGCATAGTCCTCGAAGAAATGATACGTCGTAACTTAGGCCTATGAAATCATCCCGAATTCACTGTAGATACAAATCACCACCACAATCAAGGCAGTCTTTTGTGGCCTATGCTTAATTTTGCCTTCCATGAACAACAGGGCCACGATCTCTATCGACGGAAAAGATCCTCGAGTGAAAAGTCAAAGATCTCATTTGTTCTAAGCGGCACTGCAAGGCATTGACATATCCACACCTGAGGTGACAGGAGAGGGCGGTCACCCAGGGAGACTGCGCTTCCTCTAGTTGCCGCATTCATAAGCGAGGATTTGATTCGATTCCTTCTAGGCTTTGCAATATTATTTCTATGGCTCATTCGAGGAGGTGAAGGTATATTTCACAAGATGGGAATGACATTAAATCCGTGGAGCCCATATTAATGATAGCACAGTGTGTTCCATTTATAACGCAACCCAACAACAATCGCGTACTACGGGACAAAAATGAAGTCTTGTCTTGTCTTCGAGAAGGTGGTGGACATTTTCAGCAATTGCTGTGAAGCTGCTCTGTACGTTCCGGTAATATTCTTCCTAACAAATAAAAACTATCAAACAACTCGTTTGTCTTGTTTATTGCTGTCGTACTTTGGGTTGCGTTTTAAATGGAACACCCTGTATAAATTCACTTGCAAAAACAGAATTTACTAACGAATTCGCAAATGGATTCGTACCATCAATACTATTGGACTTTTTATTCGTATGGAGCACCCAAGGAAGTGAGAGGGTTTTTCCAAATGAAGAAGGCATTGAACCCATGTTCGAGATGGAATGAATTAATTTGTGAATCACAAATAAGTAATTAATTGATTATGCCATCATGAGCCATTTTCGATCCACTGCTGGACTTTTATAGGCCTCACTTCACGCCATTTAGCTCTATTCCATGCTACATTTATTCTCTTCACCCCGATGGGTTTCGTGATGTCATCTTTTGATCTTAGTTGCTCCTCTTGGGCAGCATGTAGTGACTTTTTGGTCCAGATTCCGTCAATTGTAGGAGCTCGCAGTCTGTCCGTCTCTATTCCCTTCGTTTCACCTTCACTGTATTATTCATTACGTCCATGCATATAGAATACTCAGGAAAATAAGTAAGAGCTCCTCTCTGAGCTCCGGCCTATTTTCTTTGCGCCTTTTTGGCATAAGTCCGCGCCTCTCACACACACAGCACAGTGATATCCCAGGGATGTCCCTAACTGGACGACTTGTCCCATGGTCTTTATAGGATATCCTGAAGACATCTTTCGGACGGTTTCGGACATCTCGTAAGGGATGTCTTCGGGACATTTTAGGGATATCTTTAGCGATCTTCAGTGCTCGTTGTCGCCTTCAGTCAGGTGTATACCTTCGACGGTAGATGTCTCCCGTGAGCCCTGATCTACAACCTCAGATCTTTTCTACCAAATTTATCTACTTGATTGTCCTGAGGATAATTAAGGATTTTCGTACCATACGTCAGGAAAACTGCCACAAGGGAAAGTGAAAAAATTGTGGTCCGAATTTTAATTTACTTCGCTATATCTTATTTAATTATGTCTGATCGGCATGTCTGGATACAACTATCTTGGTTGGAGGCCTGAGCCCATATTATTTGGATGGGGTGAGGCTAAGTCATCTCGTCCGTGATCCTTAAAGGTGCTAAATTTTGTTCCTTGGAGATATGTCTTCTGTAATGGGGCCCTTTAGGAACAGGATTTTCCTCCCCTATAACCGTCACTCTTCAATCGGTCAGAAACTTAGGATTAGGTGTTCGCAGATCAAATAGAGACATTTTCGAAAGTAATGGGTTTTTCCGTGCGGTTGAAAATGAGTCCATTGCGGATAGGAAGGGGCCTGCAAGTACAACCTGAGTCTTCTCACATCCCTAGGCCAGTGGTTCTCAATCTGTGGTCCGCGGACCGCTGAGCACACGAACTATGGGAGTAAAAGAGAGTTTGAGAACCACTGCCATAGGCGATATCTCTAGGACAGGGGTGGCCAAAGTTTTGGGTCATGGGGGCCGCATAGGGTGTGGGCTCGCGGGCCGGATATTTGGAAACTTGCTCTTCTGCATGGTAAATATTATACCAAACAAAAATATTTTCCCTAGTTTACTTAGTTAGTTCCTAGTCAACAAAACAGATTTAATTTTTTTTTTCCAAAACTCCTCGCAGGCCGCACTTTGGGCCCCCCTGCTCTAGGACATTCTTCGGATATACTTGTGCTGCAAGAGACATTCTTGGGATGTCTTTACGCCCAGAAATTTTTATATCCCTGAGATGTCCCCACAAGTAATGTCCGGGACTTGTCCCAAGGAGATATCTCTGGGATATCTTAGGGATGTGTACTTGTGCTGTGTGGGTCACCCACAGGTTATTGCCGGAAGGGCAGACCAGTCCACGGTACCCAGCCAACCGAACGCTCTCCTACCGGCAAAAAAACCCTCTCATCGGTTCTTCTGTGAACGGGTTCGCTTCGATCAGTCGTCCAAGGTTCACATACCGGTTCGCAAGCTCACGCGGCTTACGGTGCGACGGAAAAATGGCGTGCGATTTCGTTCTAGCAATAAAGCGCTAGATGAAGCCTGGAAGCTCTTACAATAAGCGACAATCGCAGCACGTACTCTGGGAATTTCACACCTCGTAGATGATTGTAGACCTTCCGCTGATCTAATTGCCCGTTTCAATGATCTCGTAGAGACCCGATGTTCCTCGCACACAGCTTGATTACTGGCGCCCCAAACCCCATTTCTGCTTCTTGCACCTGATCGAGGACTATTACGTGTTAAATCAGATTGACTGACAACAATTCCTTCACTTAAAGAAGCCAACGGCCGTTAAACTTGGCAGAACCGTCCTGAATACATCCCCCTGGTCCTCTAACACCGGACTTACATTTTACCAGCTGATATCCGCCTTTCCAATTCATACAATCTGGATTCTTTTCTCAGGATTTCATCGCGTCTCGCCCGGCTGATATCTTACTGATACCGCTATGATCCGAGTTTCTTATTTTATCTTGAGCTTCGACGGCAGGCACCAGATCGTCAATCAAGCGTTGATTTCAAAACTGCAGTTCAGTTCCAGTTTTAGTTCAATTCTAGTTGCAGTAGATATTTCATCACAAGAGTAGTCGATACGAGCACGATGGAACATCAGTCGGACCAAAGTCTGAAGTGGAACAAGAACCGAACTGCCGTTTGAGTCAGGCAAGGTTTTCCCAAATTCGCATCCTGTGTCAAGGGTTCATGAAATATAGGTCTAGCTCTCTAAAGATGAATATTTATGCGGGGCATATTTATCTACGGTGTTTTTCGCTCGACTCAGACACGGCACGAGCGTGTGAGTCGAGGGAAAAATTGTCGAACCTAAGTGAAAAACACTGCCGCCAAGTAACTTACATCGCTCCATCCTCTTAGAGCTAGTCACGAGAGGGAATCACTGCATCTTCACCAGACGCGTTCCATGCACGCACTATCCGACAGTGTGAAGAATACGTTCCGCCACCTGTCTCGAGGCTTACGCAACTCGAACTGGTTTCCCCTTTTTCTATAGATACCATCATGTTGTGAAAACCAACCAAGCTCCGTAATATCAATACTTTTAATGCTATTCAATTGCCTGGATGATGTCCTCACTCCTCAACGGGAATAAACGCCTTTGACATGAAAGTCTTCGTACCACCACTATCACATACGGCAATCTGTCGTTATGTTGTCAATTTGTTTAGCTCAAATGAAATAATGTCGTGGTCAACTAAGAAATGAACCAAGGACACACTCCGAGTTACGGCTATAGCAGGGTGGGCCACGAGCCTTTGATACAGTAACTTCTTAGAGCTGAACAGAACTACGAACCCTAGCCCGTGCTGTGAAGGAAGACTCCGCGAAGCCTCAATTGGATTATACATGGCGGCGTCCTGTCGCCGCAAAATCGTTCATGGACTAACGTTAGTAAGTTTAAGTTCTGGGGCCTGCTGTTAGGCCCAGGCTAGACTTGCAATGTCGCTTGTCTCTCTGTTGCTGAGGGCGTGGAGAGAGAGATGGACTGATACACAATGGGGCATCAACATTCGAACGGTAAGATACTTAAGTTAGAGCATGTTGAAGTTTTACTAGTGAGGCCTTAAGGCTAAAATCGGAGTTGGGTTGTGGACCTAAGTAGGATCCTATGATCCAGGGCCTGTAACTCCACAGAAGGCAGGACCTCACATCAATACCGTCATGACGTGAAACTACCCTGAATAGGCCATTTCTCTGACCAAACTCCTAGTGCACCTAACGTTAGGCTGCCCATTTTTCATCTTCAAATTTGCAATATGTCTGACGTGAGAACTATGTCCATAGGGATGAAGGTAAAGGGTAAGGTTCTGTGGTAAATCTATATTGGCCTTGTGTTTCTTAAAATCAAAAAGATTTAGAGTATGGTAATTTTCACCTTAACTGTTGGTTCACATGTTTTTGTGTGACAGAAACTGTAATTTCAAAATACAAAGTGTAACATAAGTCACTATCCAAACCCGAAATGATATAATTCTTTAACCTATAAGGTTAATATGTTTGCTTTGATGGCTAAGGTCCATGATCACTGGTTACGTTTTCCTTGGTTTTCAAACTTAGTTTTGGTTTAGAATAAAAGGTTACTTCTTGCTCAAGGCAACATGCTGGCATGGTTGACTTGGAGTCACTATTAAGGGTGGAATTATAATTTTTTGAGTGGATACTATAGGAACATACGCCTATAGGGCCTATGGAGGCAACAATGGGGTGCATGTATTGGGCGGATGAATACAGAGAATGGGGATATGGGTGAAGCTTCATGTTAGAACATGGGAAGTCGGCATAGTTAGGGTTGGGGGGGCGTTTTGGGTTTATAGAAACGCCAAGAAAGCTGTTAGGAACGGTCAGCACAAGTCTTGTTATGGAGATATTGGCAAATGGCAAGAGATGTGTGAGACTACTGCCAGTTTCCTGAATCAGTATGGCTCGGGCAGATACAGAAATTTTTCATGGTTCCCAAGTTTCCACCTACCCCCCCCCCACCCCCCCCCAGCCTACCACCATTCCTCGTCCTTTTGCCTTATTTATTTTTCGTCTGGGGGAAGAACTTGAGTATCTATTTCATGACTCCAATAAAATTTAATGCAGATGCTGTTTTGAATAAATAAATCAAATGCTAACTTGGCCTAACTTGGCAGTCACCCTCTGCCCCTGGTATGGCTGTTACCATAGCAGGAGAGCGCATATAGATCCAAGAACCATTGCTTTTAATGTGAAATAAAGGCACCTTACTGACTTTATTCACTAAAATTAGAGTTCAGTATATGATGTTGGAGGGTTACTTTTACATTTCATCAGACTCTTCCCTTATTGGAGTTCACCAGCGATCATTTACCTTAACTGCTTTGATATTCCTGAAATGTAGGCTTAGTTTTGCTTTCATCATTTTAGGTAATAGCTTCTTCACTTACCACTGGGCAGTGAATCACTGTAGTGAAACTGTACTACAAGAGCGAAAGTACTACAAAAGCACAGCAGGAGTGGAGGAATTATTTTGCTTCTCTTCCTCTTTCCTCCAGTCCTGCTGTTCTTGTGTTACTTTTGCTCTTGTAGTACAGTTTCATTACAGCAACTTGCTGCCAGGGCTTTAGAATGGAATTTTTTTTTCATTATGCATTCCGTTCTGTTCCACCTGAACCCCTTGTGTTCCAGTTTCTATTCCATTCCATGAAGATCAATTTCAATCTGTTCCACATTTCCACTGGGAAATTTAGCACAAAAAAGTTTTTTTTCTTTATCCTTGATGTGCAGAAATTTTCTTCAATAATCACAATTACAAATGAAAAATGGTCTGGGTACTTAGAACGGAACAGAACTAAATTATTCCATTTTTGGGAGCAATCAATTTCATTCCATTCTGGTTTTGCATTCCTCAGCCATCAGTAGCATTCCATGTTCCATTCCATTCCAGTTTTCATTCTGTTCTGAAGCCCTGCTTGTTGCTCAGTGGTAAGTGTAGAAGCCATTACCTAAAATGAGGAGGACCAAACTTAAGACCTTTCATGTTTCAGAAATAGCAAAACAGAAACAGCTATGAGTCTTGACCTGGCACTCTGGTATTCTTTTTTCATTCATTGTTTGTAAAGACCCAGTAAAACCCTGCATGCTCTTTGCATGCAGAGTTTTACTTTGCATGAGAGTGGCAAAAAAAGAATAATGTTTGAAGTCAGTTCTAAGCACATTTATTTTGATATGCTTGTAACAAAGGGTATTTGTATTCTTGTGAATATTATTTACACCCTAATATCTTTCTTTGATGTAGGTATTATCCAAGAATCAAGGAAGAGATGCAGAAGCACTTGGTGATGCAATGCTAAAACAGGCCTTAGTTGGTCCTGCTCCAAATCAGCTGATCCTCTCATACTTGAGGCACTCCTTGAGTGCTGGTGTAAGTGGTCTTTTTGTTTCTGAATATGCAAGAGTAAGTTGGTCTCTGCTTAACATTAGGCATGATTTAAGACTGTTCCTTAGGCTGTCTGACCAGTTATAGTTGCTCACTGTCTTTACAAGTCATCAAATTGATGGCCTACCCTACTAGGTACATATATCCCAAACTGTAAAATTTTACAGACTGATGTTCTGTGTTGTGAGGTACATCAAGAGATGGCAGTATTAATTATACCAGGGATTTCTGAAAGGTTTTGACTTTTATTTCTTTCATGAAGTGTCCACTCTTTGAAAAACATGGTATTGCTGATCTTTATGTCAGAAATTTAGATAAGCAAATAACTCCCATTTTGGCAAAGTATGATGCACCAGTTCCTTCATATATTAGTTGGGATCCATGCTTGTTTCTGGTTAACCTGATCAGCCAATTCCAATTAGAAAAAAAATCGAATTAAAAAGCTGTTGCACCTACTAGAAATGCATCCCATCTCACCAAAGATCACAATTGAGGTACATGACCAAATCCCATCTATGGGTATTTGTGCATCTGTCACTTCCCACCTTGATAATTGTTCCAAGTACAGTGGTACCTCGCATAACGAACGCAATTCGTTCCAGCGGTGCGTTCATTATGCGAGGTGTTCGCGAGTGAAAGTGAAACATTTTTTCCTAATTTCCTTGATTTTTTACGGCGATGTGGAACGGATTACATGATTTCCCATAGACGTCTATGGGAAATCGTGTTTCGCATAACGAACACCTCGCATAACGAACGCACCGCTGGAACAAATTGCGTTCGTTATGCGAGGTACCACTGTACTAAGAAAATATTGCCTTGATTGTTGTGGAAACTGCTATCCAGGCTCACATAGGTAAGAGAAACTGGGATTTTTTATTATTTAAATATTAACCTCTTTAACATTTATTCTGAGACAGTCTTAGGGTGGAGGGGGGGGGTCCTGTCTATAATATGTTCAACATCCCACACAACACAATGACATCCGAGGGATGTCTGCAACTAGACAACTTGTCCTAAGGTCTTTATGGGACATCCTGAAGACATCTTTTCCCAGACAGTTTCTGACATCTTGAGAGGGTTGTCTTCAGGAAATCTGATGTTTGATGTTTTTTTTTAGACATCTTCAGTTAAATTCTCATAGGTACTCTGAAAGGGATATCTCTAAGACATCCTTAGTCTAATGCTTCTGGATATCCCATAAGGGATGTCTTTAAGCCATCTTTCGTTATCTTTGTCACCTTCAGTTAGGTGCATAACTTTGACAGTAGTTGTCTCCGATGTGCCCTGGTTTCCTCCCTCTATACCATTATTCTCCAATCAGTAAGAATTTAAGACTGGGGAGTCCTAGAAGGTCAAGTAGAGATATCTTAGAAAATAATGGGTTGGCCTGCATGACAGGAAATGAGCTCATTTTATCAAGAAAGGGTTGCAGAGGTATTGATAATAGTATCTGGGACTCTTCACTTGTTCCAAGGGGATATCTCAGGGACATATTTGAGATGTACTTTTGCTGTGTGGGGTATTTCCAGTGAAGTAAAAAATAAAACATTTTCCACTATTGTTATGTATTATGAAACATGTGTTTGAAACAATTTTGGCATGAGAAAGAGTGCTGGAGTGAAAAAAATAAAGCAAGAAAAGGAGTGCTTAGGTTAACCTATTGCCAAAAAGGATCATTTTAAATTAAAAATGATGAATTTCTGAAAGTTCCTGAATATTTCTGGGAAGTGTTCTTGAGTTGAGAAGGAATGGGTGGGTGACAACCATCTCCCACTTCACCCCCTGACTCAGCTATACCCTCCACTCTCCCCATAAGCAGTACATTGTTCCTGTTTCTGAGCTTTCATATATATGTGCGTTTAACAGAGTAAATCTGATGGAGGGATGAAGTATAAGCATTAATATATATGGAATCTAGATATGCTTTATATAAGGAATTATAAAATGAAGCTACTTTTAGTGGAATGAGACTTGCTAGCTGGACTTGTCAGTTGGTTATTTCTTTAGCTGGTCCCATTCTGTGAGAAGTCAAATCTACATCAGTATGGTCTAGTATAAAATCGAATTTCAAAGTAGCATTTAAAAAAAAGGACAGGTATGTGGAAGAGGGTAATATTCAAAAATTCACATATATACACACAGATTTTAAGTTTCAGCAAGCCTATTGCAATGAAGACCATGAAGACACAACATTTCCATCCTTTGTTGCAGATTGTCTCCCATTCAACTGTGCTCCTAAGCATTAGCCAATATCAATCATTTGTGAAGCTGAGATGTGTATCTGGGATCCTCACTCTCCTCCAAGATATCTTGGTCAGTTGTGTGATTTGGTTATTCTTGATTCCCATGGAATTGTATGTTTGTATTACATGATAATACTTCATCTAATGGTTATTTGGTTAATTAAAAAAACTCCGTCAGCATTTCAACTTTTTCTTGCTGTGGTTCTAAATCTGCAAAGGAAATTGTGATAGTACATGAAATCTTGGTGAAAGAAAAAGTTTAAGACTCCTATTAGGCACTGGTATTTGACACCAACATAAAATGGGATCTTCACTTTTCCCTGTTTCAGCCTTTGTTGAGGAGCCCTGCATGTACTGAAGATCCTATGTCACTAGGCAATCCCCTGCTGTCTGTTGTTGGCTGGCTTCTAACATGTTTTTCCAAATGCAGTGGCCTCTGCACAACAGAGCTGAGGTCTTCACCTGATCATCTGAAGATAATCCAAAAAGTTGTCCAGTGTCTCAAATCCATCCTTGATGATGACTTCCTCTGTGGTATCCTTATCCTCTCTTGCAAGGAAGATGCAGGTATGTGGAATTGCCACCCTCCAAACATGGAGGACCAATTGATTAATTTGCTTCTGCATCTTGTGTGCAATGCTGAATGCAACTAAAATGCACCAATCTCAGAAACTCCGTCTCTAGCCAAATTTGCATGTTATCTGAAGGAGAGAGAAATATATGCATGGAAATAAGCTTCCTTTTATTATATAGTGAGACACTTAGTGTCACCAAATTTAATCTCTAGACAGGTGGCCCTCATTGTTTTATCCCTGTACAGTCATCCCTCGCCACTTCGCGCTTCGACTTTCGCGACTTCACTCTATGGCGGTTTTTTCAAATACCTGTATATTGGGTAATAAGAGTGTAATGGTGACTAAAGAGTGTTATTTCATGCTAGAGGGCTCTAATAGACATGAAATAACACTCTTTAAGTGTAATGGTGACTAAAGAGTGTTATTTCATGTCTAGAGGGCTCTAATAGACATGAAATAACACTCTTTAGTCACCATTACACTCGTATTACCCAATATACAGGTATTGAAAAAACCGCGATAGAGTGAGGCCGCGAAAGTCGAAGCGCGAAGTGGCGAGGGACGACTGTATACAGGAAAAATTAAATACTTCATGATCTGTAAAGTAAATTTTCCTGCATCAACAATGCATGCGTTGCATGCATCAACGATGCAATGCACCATGCTACTTACATTGCCGAAATTGTGACTGGAGAAAGACAATGGACTTCCTGTAGCAAAAGGAATCATGGCAAGTAATGGTGGCAACATTGCTCAGAATGTAGAAGTTTCCATCTTTATTCTATTAACCTTTGCATTGTATTTTCTCAGGTAATGCTTTCCACTATATAATTCCACCTCATTTTACTATTATTTATAGGCCTGTACATAAGCCTATCATGACATTCCTTTACAAGAAATCTCCATGCACCTACTCAAGCTGTGACCTTCCTTAATTGCTAATAATCCCTCCAATAGGGATGGCAAATTGCATGTTATTGGAAACATGGATCAACACCATTCCAATGCATAGATTTTTATTATTTTTCAAGAGAAGGGCACAAAGAAAGAAGTCTAAAGTTGATTCAGAAGGCACAAGAGGAAGGGTTTTTCTTTTTCAAGGGAAAATTTATTTTACATCAGATTTTAACCCTATCATGCACTAATTTTTGATGGCCCACAGTCATAATTTTCATTGTTTCTGTTTTATTTTAATTTTGACTAGTTTGTATCAGTTCTTCTCAAGCAAGGCCTCCATGGATTTGCTTTCAGCTCCAAAAACATTTAAAAATGTTCAATATTTGTCCTTAAGTGAGGACAGGATGCATGAAAAGGTTAACCCTTTCACTGTGATGTTTGACTATAGTCAAACTGTGCCACATACCCTTGCTTGACTATAGCCTTCATCCAGGAATTTTTTGGTGTACTTGCTACAACATTCTATTTCAGTTCCTTGATATGTAGTACAGAAAATTTCATCTGCTCAGACACTTATGTACTGATATCAGTTTAAAAAGTTCTGGAATTTTATTCAATCACAAAAAATTAAATATACAGCAAATGGGTTAATGTCTTTCCTTTCTATCCAGGTGGTTGGATTAGTTTCTGCTAAAATGCACATTAAGGATATTTGCTCCTGAAGTGCAGTTTAGTTGAATAGTGTTGAAAGTAGGGCAAATTCATGAAGCAAGTGTCTAGTTTTGTGGACTATTATAACTATCATTTTTTCATGTTTTCTTGCAGATAGTTATAGTGAAGTCCTGATGTCTTGTGAAGAAGTTAAAGATGTCCAATATGATGATGAGGACCTTCAATTTGTTCTCAGGTAAGCGAATTTACATGCAAATAGATGTCCTTTCTCCACTGATGCCATGGCCAGATGCCAGTACATCCCTGTTCTCTTTTAGGACCCTGGAATCTTTTGGAGCAAAATCTTCTCCAACTGCTCATGGACCTAAGGAGAGAAGAAATGAAACTACTTCCTGTTTAGACTATACCATTCATGGCTTGGTATCCCTTCATGCTCTCTTCCGTCTTACTGAAGAACCAGAAGTGGTTTCCCATGAGTTCACAACCTTGGCAAGAGCCCTGGTGAGTTGATAGGAGAGTCATAACTCCTTTGCCATTTTCTTGCTGATGTTGCAGCTGAAAAATGAATAGACCAATCAAATAAATAGACCAATAGATCAAGTAATTTGTTCTTTATTAATTTTAAAGTTTTTTTGTTCTGTATATGTTTAGGAAGTTCATTGCTACATTAGATGCTGTTGAGTCATACTCTGAGGATGTGTGAAAAGAATTTTATGAATCTACCTCTCTTTGAGATTACTGATCCTCTGCTTTAGTCATTGAGTTACTGAATTTCTTCAACCAAGTCCATATCCTTCCAATAATTGCTTCATCATTAAGTTGCTGTCCTACCATGATTGCATACACATATGTTGCATGGTTTGGTATGAGTATTATTGGATACCTGTACCAAGCTATACAATTGCATGGATCTGTCATACATTCCCCATTTAATAATCACAGAATGTTTTAAATTAAGCAGAAATTAGCTTGTTTTATGTATCAAGTGATACCTGTGACATTAAGTGTTAATTATCCTATAATTGTCAGCTACATTCACACACATTTCTAAATATTTTATCCATCTCTGGTGTCTTTTAGGCTTTCTTCTTGTTTTATGATATGACTCAAGATTTAGAGATATTACATAGCAAAGTATTGGGATTCCAAGTTGTTCTGTAGACCAAGAGGAAGTTCGAAAGGTAGATGAGAAATGAATGTGATTCTTAACTGGTACTTTCATAGTTTTTTTCTGTTCACCCACTTGAAACTTCCTCCTTGAATGAGGACAATTATGGACAGCCTCAGCTTGACACTGATTTTTATTTGATAAAATTGCATTGTTCTTGATAGTCAGTCATACAATTTTGCAGCCTTTCCCTGAATATACTTGTGAACAAAGTGGTTCTTAATTTATGTGAGTTGAGGTTAAGATGTTTCCTAAATGCTTTCCTAGAAATATGATTTTGAGTGATATTCTTGCTATATCTTTGGTGACATGATGGGGAGATGGTTCAGATTGAGATTTTACATTTCCTCAAATCAGGTGACATTGACTCCCAGGACTCTGGAATTTGGCATATGTCCTTTTAATTATCCATATTCCATGAAAAATGTCAAGCACATTTTTGCTTTGGCCAATGTGCATTCAAAATGATGAGATTTGGGAGCTCATGCTGCTTTTCTGTCAGAAAATCATTGTGGTATTGTAATTGTTTACACGAGAAAGGAAGGACAGGTACCAAGGAGCTGCCCTCTTCCTATGGTTGATATCATCTGTATCACTTAGTTCTAACATCCACTCAACCCTTCATTTCACCCATTTTGGTGTTTCATTTTGATTTTGACTTTTTCATTTGGTTCTGCTTCATTTTCAGTGATGCACTCTACTTATTAGATAACTATATTATACAAAGTCTAGATGTGATTGGTTGCTAAATTGGTCTGAAGGTCAGAAATATTTAGCTGTCATGTTAATGACATGACACAACAAGATGTATTTGTAGGGCATGGGGTAGGGTTCCCCCTAAAAGGTTTGTGAACCATATAGACTACATAGAAGTGTGCATAGTGGAAAGGCTAAATAGAAAGTGAAGTGTATCAACCCTACATGCTTGGATGTTCTGTGAAGGACTGTTATTCCTATCATCCTCTCCAATGTTAATGTACAGTATTACAGAAATAATTTACACATCATCTGTGAGGTCCAGTGATATATGCTTGCTTCTATTCATAAGCAGACTCATCAACCAATACTTTTTTCCATCTGCAGGATATCCAACCAAGGTCCCTGTACTGTGAAATCATGAGATCCTGCTACTTGGGACTCTCAGAGGCATCTGACAGTTCAGGAAATCTCCTGTATGCAGCATTCTTGTTCCTGAAAATTCCCAGTGTGTTTCTCCATCTCCATAGCCACTTCACAGGTATGGAAAAGCATGTATCTATTCATCAATTCACTTTAAGCTGCAGACATGTAAATGCAACAGATTGCTGATTGACCATTGAGTGAATAACAGTAGTTTAGGCTTAAAATTTTCTTCAGGTGTTGTCTTTTTCCATGAGAAAGAAAGACCAACATTGGACAAAATTTAATTGGTAGACACGGACAAAACAAGCTATGAGACATCATGCAATAATTTAAGGGGCTGTGGGATGCAGACAGCTGTTTCTTTGGCCAAGACACAGGACAGTTATAGCAGTTCTGCATAAAAGTTATATTTTTATGTTTAGCTCAGGATAATTTAGAAGCCTCATGTTAACATTGAGCACATGATTGATGGAACATCCCACTGGTTGACACCAATGGGTGAAAAGTCAAAATTTGAAACCAGTGCTGTCAAGCACACATGCCTGACATTATTATCATTATGCTAATTCTACTTATTAAATTAACTGAGACACATTCTTTATACATTACCAACTTCAAATAGAGTAAGGGATATATGGATCTTATCCAACCTGTTATTGATCTTGACAGGTAACTTGTTACATAGATGATTGTGCAGCATTCAGAACCAATACTTTCAGCTGCATAATGTTTTCATGTGCATAGTCTGTTGCTGAGTCACTTTTTATGAAAATTGAATTTTCTAATATCAAATTTGTTAAGTATAATTTTTTGCTTTTCAATAGTGTTTTGCCCCATTCTATTTTCCCTACATCCTAGTGAAGTATTTTGATGGGGTGGACTGTATTGTCTCACTGGAAATGGTTTGTAGGTGCAACAGTGAGTGGTGATAAAACATCAGCTCCTTCTGCAGACCTCATCTCTGCTTGTGAAGATCTTATAACATATGTAGCTCTCCTTGATGTGGTGGATGCCCAGTGCAACTGCAATAGCTTGGAGTCCCTTCTACAAGAGCTACAACGAACTGGCTTGCTCTCTGAGGAAATGGTGACTCAGTTCTTAGAGAAGAGGTGAATTATATAAACTTCATCCATTCTCTTCAGTTGTTAATTGCCTCTTTAAAGCTTATCTTGATTCCAAGGGCTTTAAAGCTTATCTTGATTTGCCCTTTAGGAGGGGTTAACTTGAATAAACTTTTTGCAGCAGAAGATATTTTCTTCTCATGATGTGTTTATATCAGAGTGTATATTTGATGTTTCTTCCATATTTGGCAGGCAAAATGAATCTCAGAGGGTTGCAGGAATGGATTTTCTGAATCCTGCATCAGATGGGAATACCAACATGATAGCATTGATCCGAAAAGCAGCCCCAACCATACCTACTCTTCTGAAAACCTTGACTCATTCTGACAACCCACGAATCCTGGTGAGTTTCTAATGGTTCACTACTTTCCCTGCTTTGATTGTAACAGGCAGTGGCAGCTGACCATCCCTATTATTCATACAGAAATCATCATCTTATTTAGAAATTAACATGTGATCATTGTATGGGGGGGGGAAAATTTTTTAGACTTTCCTATTTGGCTTATACTTGATTCACTACCCAGGCTTGTAACTTGTCTTATTCATATATTCAATCCTCTATTTTTGTGATTTGTGAGATGGGACACAACTGTTTTCCTTCCTGCTCTGGTCCTTAATTATAATGTTGAGTAGGATGGTAGGATGGGAAATGCTATGGAGCAGTGAATAAAATTCTTTTTCAAAAAGGAAAACAATATTCATAGCTGCAAACTACATTTGGTGATTCTCTTCTAAAGGTAGCCACTGTGTGTACATTTGTCAAACGTTTCAGCAGTTATTTACCAGAAAGGGTCATTTTCAGCTTCTGTCCATCAGGAAGAATATTGCCTCTCACTCATTAAGGAAAATTTTTCAATTGAGCATGTACTCAGACTTGGAATTTTTTTTGTCAACAGGAGGTGTTAAGCAATGTTGTGACATCAAAGACCTTTGAACTCATCTTCACAGCAACTGGGGCAGAATGCCTCATTCCAGCAATAGTGGAAAGATTGATCAATTTCTTGGAAGATAATCGTAGCCCCTGTGGTGAGAATTCTCAAGCTTCAGGAAATAGGGCTGCGTTGTTTGACTTCTCCTTCCTACTTCTGGTTTACATCTTGCAGAGGTTTCCTTCCACTCTGGTAAGAAAACGTTGGTTGTTCTTGTTGCTATTAAAAATGGAAAAGGCCCTGCTACAAATAAGTATTCCTAGTTTCCAATATGTAGAGTTGCAGATTTCTAGTTGTAGAACATGGAGCATGGAAAGTGCTGGCATATATACAGGTTCAGTTATTGGTTAGATTTCCAGGATAACATCTGGAATTTGGCAAGAAAATTGTGCAAAACCATGAAGCCACTAAAAAGGCACATCTTACCGACATTAAATCCATGGTGATGTATGGATAAAATCTGAAAATAGTCAGGAGAAATTAAGAACAATGCTTAACTGTATATTGCAGTGTTCTTCAATAACAATTAGAAATAATATCATTAAGACCCCACAGCAGCAGTTCTAGTTTATTTATGGAAGCGCTGAGATGGGTATCTTCAATTTGGTGGATTTTCAGGCTTTACACAGAAGAGGAGAGACTCGGAGGTTCTTTGACAAATGGGTGACACTCTGCTTCCCTGAGAAGAGGCACAACATGGATCCACATCGAATGACAGCTGAGGTGGAGTCAGCAAAGACTGAAGCTTTTCTTCAGCAGCTGAAGACCTGTGAATCAGACATGCCAACAAGGTATACTTTCATATACACCTTGTTGCCATCTTTGCTCACATTTTCATCTGATGACAATTTGGTATTGTTTGAAGAAAATGCCCAAGTTCATGCAATCAAGTTTGTAGACAAAGACACACATATGAAAAGATAAATAGAAGAAGTGAGACTTTCCAGAAATAACTGATAAGTTTTGAATGTCTCACTGCTCCAGGTAAACAAAGGAAAGAAAAACTATTACATTAGAAGAGCATAAAGTTGATGGTATGAAAAGGAAATGTTAATGACAGAGTTGAATTCCAAAATTAAATCCTTCCAGGCAATGAGTGGGTTTTAAATCTCATAGTCACCAGGTTGTATTTGATCATATTCAGGCAAATGAACAGATTCACCAACTTTTAATGATTAAATTCAGGCTCCCAATTAAATTTAATTGAGTTGAAATTTTATTTGTGACTCAAAAATTAAATTTTAAGCAGTTCTCAAATCTTCCTCCATTCCTTGTTTTTTTTTTTCTTCTAAAATCACTGCACTGTTGCTAAAGAGCTACACTAGAACACAACATTCAAAAAGGGAACTAAAAAATAAAATGTTATGACTTGGTTTATTTATTGATTAAATGGCATGTAATTAATTGGATAAAATTTGAAAATCAATTCACAGCCCATGATTGTTTGGTTACTGAAGTAATGTGTGATCCTTGATGTTCTAAAAGGCAACTATCGCAGTTGTATAGTTTCCTTTGAGGCAATCAATGTGGCTTCATACAGAGAATATCTTGGAACAGATAGTGGAGTAGAATATGATTAAAGTGCAGCATTTGATGATGCCTTGATTTTTGGGAGAGATGCAACATTGTGACAGAGTGAGAAATATAATCGACTGGAAATGTTATTGAAAAATCTGATAACAATTTGATTGGTAACAATTGAGAGGGTGCAGTGACAGTGCTTGGTTGAAAAAAAGTCAGAGTCCATCTTCATGCATGAAAATGCCCCTTGTGATGCATCCAAAGCCACCACTGCCTGGTGTCAAGAACCTTCCAGCATTCTGGGGGAAGGGTCAGATGCCAGGCAACAGTCCTGACCTAAATTCCATTGAAAGTCCTTGATATTAATAGATTCTTGAAGGGGAGGTCTAGAAGATGAAATATGCCATAAGCTGCAAGCAGCTCATCCAGAAAGTCAAAATGCACAGGTAGACTAGGAATCCAGGTATTCTAAAAAAAAAGTAGTAAGTAGTATGCCTCAGCTAATGTAGTTGGTTATCAATAGGAAGGGAGATTACATTGGTAAATGAAATAGTTTCATCACACTCTTTGGAGGAGAATATTATAAATTGTTCCAGTGTTGCAATACTTTTGACCCATACTCTAGATGCAGGGAAAATAAGTGACAAAAACTGTCATGAAAACTGTGAGAGAAAGTGAACTGATTGATACAGGCTTCACATTTCCTGATACATGAAATAAAGGTTGAAGTATAACAGAAGTGATAATACTTACTGGAGCTATAGTCTTTTCTGTATTTCCATTGAAAGTGGGATGAAATGGGATGAAGCCTGTTGGAGTAGCATATCTGCCTGCCAGGAAATTCTCGTGGCATGGGAGACAGGATCCCTTCAAGAGGGTGATGTTCAGGGGCTCATGGACACCATCCGCATCCACATGGGCTGCATGGCAGTTTCAATTGCCTATTGGCTTCATGCCCACATTCAGGTGAGACGTTGAGAGTATTTCTATACTTTGGTTTGTTTCATCAATAACTTCTTGAATGCTGTCTATTTACCAAATTTATTAAAAACTTATGTTTAAAGAATTAATGGGTAGGCATGGGGTTACAACCTATGCATGGCTACTTTTGTCTTCACCTGTCAGCACCCCTGAATTGGCTTGCTTTGCTAGTTCATAGTACATGATGTCATATTAGTTAAGATATACAGGGTGTTCGAATTTAAATGCAACATAGGGAAATTTTTGCAACCTGTTTGTGGAGTTCAGCATGTGCCTTATGGCTCACCTGGTTGCATGTCTGGAAGTATGAATCCTATCACTGCAATTGGTGTGTTTCCTTGCAGATGTGCAACCCAGTGGACCTTATAGCATTCACCTACCTCCACCTACATGCACAAAATATTCCCTATGTTGCATTTAAATACGAATTTAAAGTATTGTCAGATCAAGCTTATAAGGAGCCTTGGATTCCACTATGGTGATGAATTCCTATACTAAAAATCCTAAGGCAACATGACTCCTTTGGGGAAAACATCAGAGACAGAAAGACAGCTTTGAAAATTGAAATTCTAAATTATTATATTCTGTTCTGGTGACCCATCATATCATGGATCTTAAATTTTTCCTTATATGCAGACACAACCTGAATCATCACAAGGAAAGCCACAGAAGATGCTGGATATGATCATGTCTCCTGTTGAAGAATCTCATCTTCAAGCATCACAGATGCGTCACCCTTACACAGCTGAAAGGTGAGTCACTTCATAAGTGTCATGAGTCATTTAATGTACAAGAGTCAAAAGCTTTAATTTAATCTAAATGTTCACTATTCTAACCTCTAGACTTTGCTGGTTTTTCCTCCTGACAATATCATTGTTGCACACACAATCAAAAAATTATTCATGTTTTACCAGATGTGTATGTGGATCAGATTGTGCATGTATGGAGTCATTCAGAATCTTGGCCAATTTGATTGCAACATGGTAATGACACAGGCAGAACAGCCAGAACTATGCACCAGAATCATCACTCTTACAAACAAACTGCATGCATGCACCGTTTTCTCATTTCCTGCTTATGGGAAGCCCATGTTTGAACACCAAGTTAGCCATTCTGCCACTTTGACACTCCTGCATGCCAGAGTGCCAGATCATGTCATTATACTTGTGTGACTTGCTGTTGAAAATGAGATCCTCCATAAACACAGAAGGGATTTATTTCACCATTCTCAAAACATATTTACTTCTATCATGAAAGGATAAATAACTTTCATATGACATGCTTTTGGGCAAGAAGTCAACTTTTGTCATGTGAAATAAGGGGCCATTGTGTTGCCTCAGATGCCTGTTGAATGTCTTGTGAAGATGTGTATTAAACTCCATGAAAGCTTACTTACACAAAATGATAATTCACATATGTGTTTCTTGAAAGGATGGTGTTTCCAAAGGAACAGTCTCAAACACCTCTATTTACAGTGAAATAAGGTGAGGAATGAAAAAAGGCCTGAATTTCAGGCATAAAGCTTCACATGAAACCAGTACATAATGAAAAGCTTCTATCTAATGTGACTCATCTCTTGAAAATGGAAAATCCACCCAGCCAGAGATCAATTGATAGTTGACTACAGGTGTTCAAGGAAACTATCAGCAGGGTCATCTGTCAGGATCTGAAAATGGAAGGAAAATGCAAGGAAAATTTCCATTTCCTTAGTCCAAAATATGTCAGGGAGAGGAATACAAATGCAGGAAAACTATAAGAGGGCCCCTGGCCAGAGAAAGGTACAATATGACACTTGGAGCTTGGTTATATCTTTCTGTTTGTGGAAAGAACCTGCCTATTTACTGCCGAAAACATGGTTTGTGTTTTGGTTATGGGATTGCTTGAGAATTGAAGGGCTGAAAGGCAAAGTGGGTCTATCTGCAAAAAAATTCTGAAAAAGTGTTACTGGTTTTGTGCTCATAGCACAAAACCAGCTCATAGCACCTTGTTCCTTTAATAGAAAATGACAGTTTTTTGGAATTGAGTAAAGGATGAAGTGATACATACTACTTTTTTTTCTCACTTTTAATATGATGGTCACTGGAATATTCACTCATTCCATGTGGAGCTTCTGGAAATAATTTTTTGCAGATTGCACTTTGCCTTTCAGCCCTTCAATTGGCACCACAAATTGCTGGGTGGATTTTGAGAAGTTGTCAGAGAGGAATGGGAGAAATTGGATATTTCTGTGTTCTGTGAAGCTTTGCCAGAGTAGAAATTAAGGTGTTGGGCAATTTTTCAGAATCAAGGACATATGATGGAGTATGATAAGATAGTTCCTGGAAGAAGTAAAGATATATCATATTTGGAATCAAACATGGTCAAATAAAGCTGGATTGGTCTGTAGGTTTGTGTATGCATAGTTTTTTTATACACATAGTCTATAATGCTGATTTTTGTGTGTGCAAATAAAACTCTCGTGCCCTACAGTTCTTTGAGAGTATTGCTTATGTTTGCTCTTCTGTCTCACCACCTCATCACAATCTTATCAGCCATTATTTCTGGCAGACCTTGTATATGCTTATCGTGTTTGCAAGGTACTGAAAAAAGTAAGACCAACAGCTTTGAAGTTGTGAATCTCAGTTTCCATTGGGGCTATTTTAATTAAACTTGCACTGTGTGTATACTGATATGTTCCCAACAGAAATGTGAAATTTCAAAGCAAGAATTAAAAAGGAATTGAAAATGGACTCCAATCCCTTGTGCACAACTAGGCCCTGCCTGCCTCATTATCTGACTTGCACCAAGAGAAAATTTGAATGGACTTTGCACAAACTCTCTGTAGGGATACTTATTGAGGATTGGCCAGTCATGGGAAAAATACTAATCAAAACCATCTGTGGACAAAGTTAGATCACTTGAAGAATATAATCGTATCATTGGTGCAGTTGCATGATGATTTGAACATAGCATGATGTTCTATTGCCTACTTTCCTAGCTGATAGTTCTTGGATACAGATGTAAGTGATGCATTTTATGTGGGTTTTAGGTGGGGCCTAACACTCAATGTCCTGAAGTGGTTGATGGAAGAATTGAAAGAAGAAGAAAGATGCCCAAAGGAGCCTTTGAATGTGCAGTTGCTGAGAATTTGGTCAGAAGTGCAGCTGAAGGAATGGTTCACACCCTCTGCCATGACTCAACTGAAGCGGCTGTATGATTTTGGTGGTGTTCACTGGTTCTGCAAATCTCTCATTGAGGTTTGTTCTTCATGATGGTACCTAAGAAACTTTTGGCTCTGACCCAATTGTAACAAAGTTGGACAGGTGCTTACAGTACCATTTTGCATTTCATACCACTTAATACTGCATCACTCACTGCTCAGGAACCATTGAACATTATTTCACATTTTTTTCATGTTTGCAGGCAACAGTTGCAGCCACATACAAGGAGGAAGTAGAGAAAGGGTTGTCCCTTGCTCTTGCAGCTTTTCACATTGATCTCATCCAATGCGCAATTATGCTCCTCTCTCGAATCCTCCCAGATTACTTACTTCTGGATTCAAAGTGAGTCAGTTCAACCATATTTGCTGCTGATCTTTAAAAAATGTTTGCTAAGAAGTTATTAGTGTTGGTTAATACAGAAGAGCTGGCCATCTATACTTTCCAGGAGACCATAAAGACTAAGGCCTGAATGCTGAAACCTCCTTTAGTTAATGGTCCTTTAAGAATATATGGATTCCTATGGAAGAAAAAGAACTCTTAGCTGAAAGGCCCAATTATCTCCCCTAAATGGGGTTTGTGCATTTGGGGGCCTTTGCAACCTGAAATGGTGAGGTATGTGGCAAAGACTCAGTGGACATGAAAGGACAAGATTAACACTTTGATGGTTACCCATGTTACACATATTTTGCTCCTAAGTTGATGGTCAGGCATTTTCCTGTAAAATGCCAGAAAGTTGCAGCAATTTAAAAAAATAATGAAGTTTGCAATTTTAATAATAAAATATCATTACCCTTATTATTATAATGCTGGCAACCATCAAAGTGCTACAAGTGTTTCGTTTCCATTTTGCTCACTTCTGTCCCACTCAGATAGTGGTGATGCATATCTTCCATTGTAGGACTGAATTCCTCTGTGAGCCTCGAGGTACTGCTCTTGCCAAACTGACGGTTACCCTCACTTACTTGGCTCTCTCTACCATTCAACAAAAGCAAGCAAAGAGAGAAAACCAGAAGAGGAAACTCTCAGAGTCTGATGAAGTTGAAGTGAGTTTTTTGTGAATATCTCACTTGTATGTAATTGGTAAGAACAATGAAGAAGGCATCTGCTAAACAGTCATGAGTCTGTGTTGTAGGAAGCTCTGATGAGCCTGGAAGCAGGACGACCACCTCCTATCAAGATCCGACGGCTTGATGGAGATTCTGACCTCTATTTTGAAGAGGTCTACATGAGATCAGATGAAGGGGAAGGAAAGGAAAATCCCTTGGAGGCAGCAATCCATCAGCTCTTTGCTCTGTTCTCTGTGATCTCCCAGGAGACACAAATTAGTTCCCGCCTGTTCTTTGTGGCAGGCTTCCTCAGGGAAGTCATCCTCTGCTCCCATGATCAAAAAGATGCATTCTTGCAACACATTCCATCAGAAATGGTGAGAAAGGGCCAATTATTCTATTGGGATTGCTTTTATAAGAATCTTAATGGTTTTGGGCTCTTGAACATACTCAATTTTTGTGAATCTGATATTTAAAAAAACCTGATGCTAGTAGTGAAAGTATTTGATTAATAGAAACTCATTTTGATTTAACTCTCTTTGAGCTTGTACATAATAGATTATACTGGTAGATATTGTTATGATAGTGAAATGAAAAATCTGTTTCTTTCTTTATCACTGAGCCATTGCAGCATTTGATAATCCAACTCAAATAATTTTCTTTGCATATTGGTGAAAAGCTGGCACAAGGATATTGCATTTTAATCTTAAGTGGGTATGACATATACAGTATGTTGTGCTACTTTTCAAGTTTGAGTCAGATATAAGCCCAAAAAAGAATAGTAAATTTCTATCCACAAACTAATTATTACTCTCATGGAAAAATTCTTTACTCTGATGGTAGACTTCTGTCTGAGAAATTCCCCATTGAAGGGGTTAAAGATTCTGTCCTTGCTTTGCTAATATGAGCAGGATTACTTCTAAACCCTTTCTGCTCAATTAAGTGTATTACTTAGCATGGTCATTCAGATGCTTCTGAGTCACATCTTGCTTATGAACTATTACTAAAATGTTGGAATGGCTGAAAGGTCAGTGAGGCCTAGAGAGTCAAAGCATACCATGTCTTTGTTTATATCCTGAGACCTGCTTGATGAATTTTTTTTTTTTGCATCAAGTGTTGTGCATTGACTCTTGCATGGTTTTGTTTTTTTTTACAAGGCCTACCTACCTGGGGCATAATTCAGTGCATAGCCATGAAAGGATTCATCATGTTCATACTTGGAGAGAACATTGTTTAGTTTTGTGAATTCGATAAGGCTATTTGAAAGAATTCTAAGAAATGTTTTGGAATGAAATTAAAATGTAACATTTCAATTCACTTGTACAACTATCATTAGTTCTAATTTACATAAAATCCTATTTCTGCATTATCCTTCAACATTGCTTTAAATTTCCAAAATCTACATTGAGAAAATGCAGAAAAATAGCTGGACAAAAAATTAATAATTACTTGGGTGGTTTTGAAATTGTTTATTTGATTAAGTTCCCTATCTTTGATCTGCTCTAGATGCATGCAGAGACACAACTGAAACATTGCAAAAAAAATTGAGATAATTTGTATTGATGTGGTGAAGTTGACATGCCAATTATTCAAGAAAAAGTTCATATGCCATGATGGGATAAATCTTGAAATCAGTGGAACCAAATGGAACCATTTGGCATTATGGGGTCTCTCTCAAATATATGAATCATTTTGTAATGTTGCAGCTGTTGGGATTGATGCACACAGTCCCAGAAAAGGTGGGGTGTATCTTGGACCTCTGCGACTTGAAGTCTGACACTGGACGACAGGTGGCAGCCCAACTTCTCTATCTCAAGCATGTGGAAACGAAATATTATAACACATGATGCCTTTGATGGGCTTTAATAAAAGTTGTTTTCATTCAAGCACTTGTATGTTCTCCATTCACCATAAATTGGTGGGCAGTACTTTTCATCATCTCCGTTTCTGATACTCTCAAAGCGTCGAGTCCTATTGAAAGCTCCCAGCAAGAAATTCATTTTGTACCCATTTCAATGTCTTTTCCAAAGATAAAATATGGAATCTGGAGTGGAAATTCACTTCTTTCCCAGGAATCCAATTGGCATTTCAAGGCTTAAAATAACTTTCCATACATACAGCCACCAATGTGTCTCTGACATTGCAGTAAGTTAGAGCATTACCCACATAAGCAAAGTCCTTTTGCGAGGTGCTAAACTGGAAGTGGAACATTTTGAAATGGATGAAATCTCCTGTAGCCTCATTGTCAAAATATGGAACATCCTTTGATAACTTGACTAAGCCAAACATTGCCTAAAAAGTCTTAGTAAAAGTCACCATATTACTCAGTCTCAATAATCATCTGAAACATCCTCAGATGGCCTGTCTTCCTCCATAATTCAGGCATTGTTGGTCCTATTCTTCAAACACAATAAAGTTCTTGACCATGATGAGATGAACAACACTGCTTTATTTCAATGTTAAAGTATTTCATCTCTTTATCAGGTACAATGAGATTTGCCTGCTCAAGTCTAGCATGCCATCATAGATATCTTAATGTGGTTGGAATGGACAGTTGATAAGATGAGCCTACTTCTTGCTGAAAGCTCTTGCCTTATACTTCCTGACAAAGGAGTCCACATCAAACTTTCTCTTGCATCCTTGATAGTTCATGAAGCGAATCTTCCCAAAGACAGGTCTTTCAGCCCATCCTTGATCATGGATTCCACATATTGACCACATGCATCCTGTAACATCACAACAATTTCTTCTCATTTTCACATAACCATGGAAAAAAAAATCATTATATTTAATATTTCTGGGTAGCTGCCAGACCTCAAATCTCAGGTGAATTGTTGGGCTAATCCACAAAAAATATACAGTATATTTATGCTGATATTTTATTCATACCCTGAATTATAGCTCTCAAAAGTTAAACCCATCAAGTTGCCTTTGTTTCCTCAAGTTTTTCTCTAGTGACTTCTTCAGAAAACAAAAGCTTTCAAATACAAGGGGGAGTCAATAAATAAGGTAAATTTAAGCATAGCATTAAAACAGTTTATTCCAGAAACATGAAAATCCACTCCTTTTCTATGTAATTACCTCCTTCCTCAGCACATTTATTCCAGTGACTGACCAGCTTTTTGATTCCGTGAGAAAAAAAGTTTTTGGTAAAGAGCGTAGCCAATTATGCACAGCATTTTGAACGTCTGTATCATCCCTGAACTTATGCCCCTGTATTGCATCTTCAAGTGGCAACCCTTTTTTAATAGTTCATCAGATAGCACATCAGATAATAGTTCATCAGATAGCACATCACTTGTACACATTTTTAGATGAAAAACAACTGTCCCCATATTGTGCACACATTCTACAATAAATTTTACTTGGTTTAACTCTTTGACAATAAAAATCAAGACACTTTGTTGTTCAACAGCAGGGCCACCATTTTAAAAACTGTCAGTGGCAATGTTGCCAGCTTTATATTGCTGAAACTATGAGTACTACATGTTCAGACATGAGGTAATGAGTACATAATGGGTACATAATGTCGATGAAAATTTTAAATTCACCCTAGTTATTGACTCCCTCTTGTAGTTCGAAAACAACAGCTACTGAAATTGCGACTCGAAATGACACGGTAAGTTGTCTGAGTTGTAAGTTGTATTTTTTTAATTTCCACATCGTTTTTGAAAAGATTCATGCACTTGAATATGTTTTTGATTTCAAGGATATAAAATTGAAAAATAGAAGATTAAAAAGTATTCTATCTTGAGTTAGCTATCTTTTGTAAAAGTGTGCCAAGCAACCACATACTTATTTTTGTCATTGGAAGAACTTCACATACAGTCCAACCTCCCTCCTTTTAGTGAAAACAGATGAGAACACTCACCAACGTATCCATTGGGATCCCGTCCATCTAGCTCATACTTGTCATTCAAGTAGATGGCAATTGTCAGAGCTTCCTCAGGACTTGCTGTCCATTCCAAGATCTTTTTGGCCCAGTACATACGAAGGAACCCATGCATCTTTCCTTCACTCACCATTTGGATCTGGAATATAATGCACTTCCTTAACTCATCTAAACCTACATAATTACTTCACTAACCCAAAAAGGTTAAATGAAAGGCATTTGAACCTGAGCAGCATTCCAGAGATCATCATGGGTCTTCGCTTCCTCCAATTCCTTTCTGGTGTAGAGATATGATCTCTTGTCATCCCTGTTCATAGGATGTAAAGAGACTCATCAGTTATGATCATATTCTGCAAAGATGATGCTTAGAACAATGTGTAGGTAAATTTTCTCAAGCTCTGATTTCAGCAATCTGACATACCTATGCATGTTTATACAATGAAAAATTCATAATTAAATGGGCTTTCCATATCAACCATACTCATTTCCATATCATCAACTATATGAGTAATAATTTTTATGATTGGTGGAAACACTTTGCAAGAATCAGGGAAATGATACACAATCAACAATCCAACAGATAACATGATTGCTCGTTTCTCTCTTCCAATCCCCTCAATTCAACTACCTATAATTTGACAGAGAAGTGAGAGTAATCATTCAAACAAGACAGGTGTCACTGCATTGAAACCTCCTGCCCTGCTGCCTGTGGTGGCTGCTTACTACAAATAGACACACTTTCACAAAAAAATATACGTGGGGCTAAAATTGTCAGATTCTTTGTACAAATTTTGCAAAAAAAATGTTTACCCAAAAATATTAATTCCTACACAGCAAACCATTACTGCAATTGAATCCCATTTTAAACCCTCAGTTAGATATAAAGCACTCAAACAGGTACTCAATTTTTCCTACTTCCAACAATCCCATGATGCTAAATGCCAAGTAAGAAATGGCATGTACCCAATTGCACATGCCATCAGCTGGAATCAAAGCAAAGGCCTTCCAGGCAGGATGTGGATGCTATATTCACAGAGCCATGCTTCTGGTCAATTTTCAAAAGTTTACCAGAATCAGAGTTGGAAGTTCAATAGTAAATTGTGAAGAAATACCATTTTTGGTACTCCCTTAGCAGACTGTTAGGAAGGATCTGCCATGGGAAAAAAAAAAGCTGCGGATTAATGCTGCCATTTCACCACTTTTAGCTCGCATGAAGGATAGAGTATGGTAATAAGATTGGATGGGGGATAATTGCCTAGATATCTTGTGAAGTGTAAGAACTTATTTATAGGCAAACAACATTTAGTTGCACCCTCATCATGATGATAACACAATATCTGGTATAAAAATTTACATTCATGTGAAGACAGCACCTGAATTATACCATCAAGACAAGTTTTGGATTGGCCACATATTCCTTGTTCCAGCCCAAGTCCATCTTGACATTAACACAAGCTGATGAGTTGTTGCTGAAAATCCATGTTGGACTGGTCAATACAAGAGGATCATCTGCTTGCAGTGGTGTCTGACTTCATTGGTTTCAGCATTTTAAACAGATCTCAGCCAATCACTTGACATCCATGGGAAGATTGTAAAAGGAAAGAGGGGCTTTATTTTTTTATGTGACATGGGAAGTGTGACTTGAAGTGAAATGCTGGATGAAGAGCAGTGGCAGCTAGTGAGTTCCAAAATGAGGGGCGGAGGCCACAGACAACTTAGAAGTGGGTATATTCTGCTATATGTAATATAACTATAGCTAAAGAGGATGTCTCTCTTATTTGAGGATTTGAGCTTTCACCTTCATTCACTTGAATCCAGTGTTACAGCAAGGAGGATGTGAATCTTTTTGCAAAATTGGAGCATTGGTAAATGCATGTGTAAAGTAGTGTGTCATGTGGCTCTTGACCATCTCTGCCCTATAGCAAGCTTCTATCCTTGGTGCCAAGAAGGGCTAAGTCTGGGACAGAAGAGTACATCTCATGAAGGATACACAAACCAGGCTAAAAGTTGTCTGCTGCACAAAAAACTAGTTCTGGGATCCCATTTAGCAGTGGATCAATGAGGAGTAACAGAGGGTTAACAAGTGAAAGAGAAGCACAATAAAAATGCCAGGAAAAAGTCCATGACCATTTCAACTGCTCCTTACATGAGCAATTTATGTTGCATTGTGATGAGAGCTTCTGAGTGAAATACTGAAATATCCAGGACAAAGTGATCTTCAACCTGAACAGCTTGACAACAGTCTGCTTTTATGTGAGGGTGGACAGGAGATCATAGAAACGATGTGAGATATTTACCTTCAATGCTTTCAAGGAAAGACAATGCTACTTCCATGTGAGAATCTGTTCCAAAACAGTCATGTTATGCTTCTCTGCTTGGATGACTATAATTCTGTATGCATGTAATTGCCAAATATGGCTATCTACCTATGGTCATATCATGTCCAGTATTTCAATATGATTGAGGGAAAGAAAAATTGCCTAGCAAAGAGGAATCATCCTTAGAACTATAAATATCAGAGTGATCAATTTGATGCTGTATTAAAAGTAGTATAAAACTATTATTCTGTAGCATTTATTTTTTTAATTTTAGATGTTATTTGGTATGTTAAAAATGTCAATATTAAATGGGGAAAGTTAAAACAGCAGAGGCTCTAAGTTGCCAAATGAGCAGAGTAAAGTGCATTTAAAAATTGCGAATAGTCAAAATGACTGCCCTGGTAGTTCTAGTGTTAAATGGGAACCTTATGGGTGAGTGAGTTTTCAGTTCCCTCTCATCTTTCAAGCAAACTGGCACAAATGAGCAGATAAGGAGCACTTCAGTATGATACATTTAAAATAAAACATGAGCAATAGCTATACAGGATACTGAAAGCCCCCATGCAAAATGCTTGGAAGTGATCAAGCTGATAACTGACTTGTGATCATTGAGGGTTTTGCGAGCCCAATCATAAGCGCCTTTGATGGAATCATAGTTGGGATTGTTGAAGCAAAAATTGTCTGCCAGCTCACGTCGCACAACTGCTTCTTCCACAAATGCTTCCACTGACTTTGAATTGCTCTTCCCTTGCTTCTTCACCTCAAGAATACATCTCTGCACAGACACCTGACCTTGAAAGTACAAAGATCATTCCAAGAGATTCTGAAGATTCATACAAGGTTCCAACTCAGAGGCCCAGAGCTCAACAAAGCTCAAGAACCACACAATGTCATATGAAATCTCACCAAAGTGAAACCACGGGGAGAGGTTACTTAAGGCATCAACTGTGGGATCATTGCGTTTCTCTCCAAAGAGCTTCAGGCGCTTCTGAATGAATTCATGAAGCATTTGCATTCCAGCTCTTGTTCCAGGTGTTGCCCATTGCACTTCCTCAACACTGCGATCAACTTCCAAGAATTTTTGTACTTCATCCCAATCAATTGCCTGCAAGCAATTGGCAAAGATTTAAAGTAGGATAGTTTTCTAACTATTGCAGCTGAATTCAAAGAATTAGCATAGGGGTGCTCAAAGTGGATGTTCACTGAGACACTTTGTGTGATGCATATGGCTCACAGGCCATACTAGGCACCCAAGGACTAGCAAAAGCTGCCTACCTGTTTCAAGAACCATGAAATAAATGAGCTTACCTCTGCCTTAATTTTGGGTGGGTATGGATGGTTGATGACAGGAGGGAATTCAGTGAGGAACTCAGAAAGTTTGTTGTGGATCTTTGGTCGAATGGTGCGGGCCCCATACTCCAACTTCTCGCTGGCAACCCAGCAAGGAACAATATTGTGTGCATCCACCTGAAAAAGACATGAAACTGGCACTGCATTCAAGCATATTCTTCCAACTCTGATTTTTGATGGCATCAACAATGAATCCATCAATTCATCAAGAGGGTGCTTTCACCTGGCATAATGAAACATCATTGGGGAGATTCTTTTTAACATCCTCAACCCACCCCAAGGGAACACGAAGGGGAGCGAAGTCTGTCACAACAGCACCAATATCATAATCCTTCACAAATTTCACCAGGCTGGACTTGGCTTCCCCACGCAAAAGGTGGAAATTCATGCCCAATGTTGAGCATTCAGATGACACTTCTTCCAGACCTTACAGAATATGAAAATACCAATGTATGACAAAATGTATCCTTGAATTCTATAATGAAGCCATTAGCATGTGAGTGAGGAAATCTAACTAACAGGTAACTAATAAATATCTATAAATGACTGAGATATTGTACCACTTTGGTATCATAGCAGCTTATCTACTATTGATTTATCTTAATGTTGTACAGGGTGGCGCAAAAGTTGTGAACCATTGGGGACTTCACTGCTGGATTATAGTATTTATTTTTTGTTTCCAGGTAAGTGATGACTGCAAAATTAACAAAAGAAGAGAGGGAGGAGTTTGTTTTAATGTATGGAAGGCCAGGCACATCAAACTGGTCAGTCACAACTGAATTTAATGCAAAACACCCAGAATGGCCCCCAATTGATCAGGCAACCAGTGTTCTGGTTCTGGGTGTTTTGCATTAAATTATGTAGCACCTGATCAATTGGACATACCTGGCCATCCAGACATTAAAACAAACTCCACCCTCTCTTCTTTTGTTAATTTTGCAGTCATCACTTACCTGGAAACAAAAAATAAATACTATAGTCCGATAATGAATCCCCTATGGTTCATGACTTTAGTGCCACCCTGTACATTCAGATATACAAGTTTTTAAGGCAATGTACAAGAAGTCATACAAGGATAATCATACCTTTCAGCATGAACCCAAACTGTCGTATGGTTGCATCCAAGAACTTTGGCACGAGGCAAAAACAGACATGCAATGGTAGCTTGTTCTTGAGAGCCAGGCGTTGGGCAAACAAACAGGCCCAATTGTCTGGAAGTGAAAACAAACTGCTGCAGAAATTGATTTGTGTGAACTCAGACCATTACCAAAATATCTAACTTTGCCTAGCTGTGACTAAGCCATGCATGAATGTTAAATTTCCATCTCATTCCTGTTTCCTTGAAATTAAAACTTTACCATCTCTTTAGCAAAGCTGTACTATGAATAAAATATTAATTGCTACAAGACTCAAAAGTCACATAAGCCTCCATAGGAAATGAGTTTCATATGAGAGGATTTCATTCAAACAAAGAATGTACGGATTATTATCTTCCTTTGACCAAACAACAGAAAAGAACAACTAGGTTAATCCTTTCATGGGCAATTTTTATCTGGGAAACTTGGCATGTCTTTCTGCATTTTTTTTTTCTATTAAATAAACTATCAAAAAGCACAAAAACATGAAATTAGTATCTTTTGTATGACAAGGGACAAATTGTGATCAATACTAGATTCCCTCTGACATCAACTGATATCAGTGGGAAGCAGGTTTCCCAAGCGTTAATAAGAATTCATGTGGTGGAAAGTATGATGCTTATGGTCCACAGGGTTAAATCCATAGAGAGTGTATAAATGGAGGGGCCTCCTCTATGGCCCGAGGCGCTGCACCCTTCCAGGTGCAGTTGTCATCTTACTGAAGTCGCATGAGCAAGGAGTTCATAGCAGACACATGGAGAGGGGGAGGGCAAAAGAGGCAACTTGCCCTGAGCCTGGGAGCATCCAAGCTGGGACCCAACCAATCATGCTATTTATTCCTGCATGCAATACAATCTCAAGATGGCAGAAGCACTTGTAGCTCTCAAGGCAGCAAAGGCCTCTCCAGAGACATCTATATACATATATATATATGGTTAAATCTTTCTCCTCCATGAGATTAATACATGCAATAGTGCATTGGTCAACTCTTGCTAGACACAGCCGGGCTCCAGTCAGACAACTTGATAGGCGATTTGATAGCCTTGTGGTGGCTAGTACTAGGGAAAAACTCAGGACAAGGAACATATGCACCAAACTCAATCCAAAATTAACCCTAGCAAGAGAATTCCAAAGACTACCATCCTGTAAATAGGACTGTATGGGCTTCATAAAGAAGTAAAAAGTCTTCCATTTTATCAACTCACCTTGAATACGTTGATCACGGGACATCCAATATACTATTCCACTGGAATTCTCCTTGACTTCAGTTGCTCCTGATAGGATCCTTACTCTTTTCTTGATGAATGGAAAGGATTCTACTGATTTTCCTGCCTGTTCAGAAGAAGAAAAGTGAGACTAATTTAAATTTCCATTTAAGACTACAAGTAGAAAAAGGGGTGGAAGGCCATGAAGTTATAAAGACTATTTTAATTGCCTTTTTGAAATCTGGTGTACATCCATGATGGAATCTCAATAATCTTCTAGATCTGCCAATGATTTAGCTCATTATTAGTCAGTCATCTAGCATTTTAGCTTTTACAAGAACTTATACACTAGTCAGCCAGATACATAATCCCACTGTCTGATCATTTTTGACACAGGGCAACATTATAAAGACATACAAGTAAAAACTGGCAATGATGATGATAGCAATCACAAAGAGGGGGCTCATTCATGCCACTCATACCAATTTAAAAGAGCTCATGTTCATCCACTTTGGACCTGGGTAAAGATGGCACTAAACCTTCACATATACAGGGTGTTTGATGAGAAAATTTATTTTTAAAATTCATACTTACAAATGGAGAGACTTAGAGAAAAACCCCACACAAATATTAGGGGCTTCTCTTGCTGAAAGTATTAAGATAATTGAAATTTTTTACATTCCCACCAATTTTTTATTTGCATTTCTTGAGACTGAAGTTAATAAGCCCAACTAAGCTGTGGGTCACAGATGCAGGAGTGCATTTCTATTCTATGGGAATTACCTCATACAGTTCATTACAATTCCTCAGTTTGGAACTACACTTTTTTCCATTAAAATTTACCAAAATGAAACATCACCAAGTGGCTTCCAGGAAGCCACTTCCAGAGAATTTTTATATTCCTGCATCAATAATAATTTAAGATTCATTGTGCCTTGTCATCTTTGGAATCAAATAAATAAAAATAATAATAATAATAGCAACAAGAAATTCTTAAATTTTGTTTCAAACAGTCATGGCTCAAGAACTACATGTTTCATCAAATTAAATTTAAATTTAAATTTAAATTTAAATAAATAAATAAAAGATAACCTACAAAAATATAGATATGTTTTTCTGAGTCTCAGTGTATGGGTCAAACATTTTTTAAATAAACACTTATCTAACACACTGTAAGAGAATATTCCCTTAATAACATTTAGACTCAATCCCTCCAAGTATGCATGGATTTAAACAGCTTCTGACCAGACACCTGCTTTTTCCTGAACTACCTCCAGATTAAATAGTTACTGCACAGTATAAGGATACTGTAAAACCCAATTCTCAAGAGTAGGACTTTTCCTACAATGCCAATTTGAGTCCCAAGATACAGTTTCTAAGCAGCCTTTGATCCAACTTGAACTGGTGATACATTCGTGGAAGTTTCATTAGGAGAGCAGCACCAGTTAACATCAGTGGCGGCTTGTCAGGGTAGGCAAGGTAGGCAGTGCCTACCCAGTTTACAATCAGAGTTCTCAAATTAATATTTGATAATTAATTCATCGATTAACACAGCTGGAAATATTTTTTTTCCATTGCG